TTCTCTGGCAAATTTCATTGGAGTGTCAAATTGCTCATGCATGTCACTGGTCGGTCACAGTTGCTCTTCCAACCGATCACCGTAGTAGCAGCGTGATGCGTATTTGTTCAGCTGCAGAATGGAGTCACAGCCGGGAACACACTCGGCACGAAATTTAGCTTTGAATTTAACTTTCTCATGTTTCTGGAACTCGGTGGGCAGCAGATAGTTGAGCAGCAACGATTTAGGGGTTCGTATGGTAGTTTAGCCGGAGCCTTGGGAAACGCGAAGCATTTCAACAAGGAATAAAGGTCACGGCTGCCAGAAGTGAGCAATAGGGCTGACTGGTTTGGAGCGCCACCTTTACCATCGCTGCACCACAGTTCGACTAGTTCGACCCATTCCTCGATCTCAGATAGGCCAAGTGGTAGTAGTAGTAGTAGTAGTAGTAGTGGCTGCTGAATTCATGTTACGAATCACTGATTACCGGTCACGCAGAACAGAACACAGAATACTCTGACGCGTTTTGGTTAACTTTTGAACTTTTTACCATTTTTGACCAGTCTTTTAAAATCAACCTTAAATTTATCCTCTTGACAATAATTTGATTGGACGAGAAATCAGTCTTGTTTTCAGCGCTTCACTTACCGACCAGTTATAGAAAAACTACTATCTAACTGAGGGAACAATGTAGGAAGAAAAGCAATCTGGGTGGTCGCTTCGTCCTGATTGGTACGCGTCAGCAGGGCGTACATCTTGTGTCCCGGTCAGGGCACGAACCGTGAACCTTCACGTTGGGATTCGGCACCATTAACTTTGTCCTGCACGACCGATAGTCATCACCTTGTGCATCTGTACGAGTCAGTCCGTTCGGTTTTTCACAGGCACCAGGACTCTTTGTTGGTCAGCTAAAACGATTTCTATCGCATCGAAAGCCGCTTAACCGGTGGAGAATAAACGATCTCACAAAGAGATGAAACCCACCCTAAAGATCATTAGCAGAGCCTGATCCTGGTGAAAACTTGAGTTCTCTGACCTGAGCACTCATCACCTAGGAAAGGAAACCTGATTGTTCATGTATCTCGTAGCTGGTTATATTTCTGTAGTATTCGGAATAGGAATCGGAGTCGAAACGAGCGCGATCTCGAAGCTGGACTGCAAACCCACCGAATAGCGCGCAACGTCACGTAGAACAAAGACAAGCTGTGGATACAGTTAGTTCTATTCAGAAAATCATGTGAATAAATATCACAAGCATCAAGCAATCATTGGTCCATTTTTCAACATCCAATCCACAACGATATGGTTTATTTGTGTTCCTTCTTGCATTCGACCACTCCGAGTAGGGCCACTTGAGACCACAGAATTGGTCGGCAAATCCGTGTCATGATTGGTTGTATAGAAGCTGTACCGCTTTGTGTGTTACACAATCACTACAATTTCTCACTAAACTAGTCAGGCTTCATAAAGGCACGGTTGTGATACCTCTCTCTCTGTCTCTAACTTTGGGTAAAATGTCGTGTGAAATACGCATCTGAACAATCACATCATCCGCATGTGTCTCAACTGTAGTATGCAGGATCGAGCCCAGTTCTGAATCCACTTGAAACACTAGCAGATTGATTCCAGGCAATGCAGTCCGAGTTCTTATACAATTAGCGTCTTCACAGAAGGCCAAACAATCCCTGGCCACTCACTGACGTTCTCAATACACCGATAGGACACACTTCATACAGTAGGTTCTTCGTGAAGAGGGCTTCCAAACAACCGGCAAGACAGGGAAAATACAAAAA